TTTGGGTTACGAGGGTAAACTCATTCATCCAGGAGGATTTTCGTGGGATCTCAATGGCATTTAAGATAGCCAAGAGAGTAATGAGGCTTTCACAAAAATCTGACTACGAGATAACCTTATCTGGAGGCTCTCTACGGGGCTCTCTGCTTGTCATGACGTACTTATCCGAGATAGTGAATCGCACTAAAACGAGTGACCAGTTTCTTCCAAGCCACCGGGTGTGTATTAGAAAAAGAATCATGCAAAATTTCGATTACTTCGAAAAATTGCCGAGAACTGGATTCTATTGAATGCTTCGTTCCATGCCTTGTCTGTGCATTCTTATTCGTAAGGAGAATCTCTGGTAACTGTCAAATTGAACCTTTCACAAAGAAACATTATTATAGGGCCATAGTCATGGCGCGAAAATCTATTTAATATCTGGTACAAGCAAATTCCAACGCTCTGAAACCGCATTTAATCGTGCCGGTGAAACAGACGAAATTCACTCTGAATAACAAGCGATGGAGGACGTTTGATCGAACTCTCGATCGACTGGAGAATCGGTGCGATTCTATCTTCCAAAGAAAAACAACCTACGGACTCACTATAACGTTTGGGTTGCAGACTAAAGATTTCGAAGTACGAGTTAACAGAGAAAATGTTGTTTTCTACTAGTTTGAAATGGTGGATGAAAACGAAAAGCCTGTAGGAAACAACTCATCATTTTGCAGAAAAGCTCCTTGACAGCCGGTTCCACTATTTTTAGAGCTCATCAGATGGGTGTGGTTCCCAACCTTGTGTTTTACTGGAACCCAAAATTCACGAGAGTTTTAGGTGTGCCTTTTGTGAAAACCATATCAGTGTGCAAACGAGTGTACTTGACGAGCAGCCTGTGTTCAGTCGCAGCTGACCAAAATGTGAACTGATAGCTAAAGTTTCACTTTTGTTCTAAGCAGCCGAAAAACTGGAATGCAGGATTTCCGAAATGCTGTGGCGTTTACTTTTCAGCAACAGATCGTATCAATTTTTCTTCGGTAAAGGTGGCTGGACGAATGTAACTTCGGTTATGACGATCAGTAACTAACGGTCACAGGTTCGGTGAAGTCAATTCTAGTTAATATAGAAACTCAAAGGAAGCTAGAAATAAAAGTTGCAACTGGCAGGCAAAACTATCCTCCAGTAGCTGACCGGAAATCGGAAAATGTGGGCAGTATAATCCTATCAAAGAAACCATCAAAGGAAAAAAGCTGAAAGTGTTCTTTCTCTATGAGGTTGAGCTGGCAGGAACATGGAGTTTGTCGGTCAAATAAAGTGCGTCCAATATGGATTTCACATTCGTACAGTAATCTCAAACGGGGATAAGTTTGCTTTAACACTTGCAATCAGGAAACGGGGATCTTGTTCTGGGGTGAACATTACAGAATTTCAATTGGACCAAACAAAAACCGTCGTTTTAAATAGCTGGTCGCCGGGATGTGGCACGCCGTAGGGTAGTTTGAGTGTGCACTGATTCGAACGGGATCCCAAGACTGACCAGAATCGTTCTCTGGTGTGAGCGCACTTCACTAGTAGAAATTCGATTCGAATGGGTACAATATGCTTGATACACACATCCAAACCTGTCTGTCCTGGTACAGTCATAAGCACGATTGTACTGGCTTTCATCAAATCGTTTCAGTCTGATACGATTCACTAAGATGAGCTGAGTGCAAGTTTTCGTGAACAACACATATTGCCTTTTCCACATGTGTGAGTCTAGCTGCAATGGCTCACTTCCTCCTAGCAGTGTTAGATTCAGAGGCGTTCTGATCCGTGAAGTCGCTAATTTAAGCGGGGGAATTTATATCAACTTATCAGTGCAAGTACAGTACATCAGTGAACATTGCAGGGGTTCAGATAATGCGGAGATTTCAGCGTTTACGTCACCGTTATCTTCCATATGGATTCCCTTCATTTCCGCGTTGATTTCTGAATTTTTTTAATCGGCCACGGATATATTCGTTGAAGTCTGTCGCACTACACCGATGACCTTCAAATATCTTTATGAGATGATCTCTTCTATTCTCACTCCTGCGTCACTCACTTAGGCTTTATGGATTTACGAGTGCTCCCCATCTTTTCACTTATTGTTCTGCAGGAACTTAATTTAAAAAGGTTCATTCTACAATAGGCTTATACAAACCGTCTTGTTTGGTTTGCACATGATGCAATCATTTGCGTAAAAATGGTCGTATACCATTCCATTTATAATCACGTGATCTGTCACTATGGTGAACGAGCATCTAAGCCGAACTTCGACTGAGTAAATCTCACGAAACTGGAACACATCTGAGATTCATTTATTTTTATTTGAAATTGACAACCAAACGTCGTGAAACTCAAAGGCCCATACACTTCTACCGTGCCTCCCAATCCACTCTCTGCTCAGCAGGAGTGTTAAAAAGCTCACTGCCCATCAGGCATAGTTTGGAGAAAGTCAGAGGACGATGTCCACTTTGTTGGTGGTTTCCAAGTTGGAACTACCATTGAATTCCAAGTTTCTGACCTGTCTACAGTGCTATGTGAAATGTGAGATAGTTGCTAGACAACTTAGTTTCAAATTAGTGCAATTTAGGAGAAGTTAGTTTGAATCCCCGAGAAGGAGCACTCACCGTCTTGCATCGCAATCGATTAGATATTGATAATCCTCCACAGAAGTGCAGTATACTAACTACCTCAGGATTCTGTTATGGAGAAATTCAATAAGTTTCTTCCGTTTTGATATAGGTAGAATGGGTAGACTGGTCAAAATTCACTGACAATCCGCTATCGGTTTCGTTCGATTGATAGGTTCAGCCGCTGGGCTCCGAGATCACGCCCATGTTCTAAGTGCCGGTTGGTTTAAAGTCCACTTCTGTGCTCATATGGATTCCTAAATTGCTGGAACTGCACACCCGTACTACTTATGTTAAGACAAATAGAACATGGTTAAATATCTTCGCGCAACCCATTCAAATCAGCTTATTTTTAGTTCTTTCTGGAGATAACTGAAAGTCGCAAGCAAAGGAGATCATTTCCTCTTATTGGAGATTTTTTCTCAACGGGGACCAGTGTGCACATAGTATTTAGTTCGCCAAGTAAGCTATTTAGCTTATCCAAAGTGAAACCCATTTACATATCCTGTCAAACGGATGGAAGCCACAGTTGTGAAACTGAGCTCTGCATAGTTAACATCCTGTCCCCCTCAAATGAGCCTACGTTTTGAACTTTTAGACCCTGCTCTATATTCCTTCGTCCGTTTAAGCGAATTACTGTCAAGGTCAAACAGTATTTAGATCATGTTTCCCCGAAAATGACGAAAAAACAAGTTTGCGCCTCCAAAATATCCTGTTTTTCTAGCACTAGCTTTGCCCACCTTGCACTAGTGTTCTTTTGGTCAACGAACAAATGGTTAACAAAGTTCTCTATAAAACCCGCCTTATCTGGGATAGAAACCATATTTATGGTTAGCCGATTGACTTTCCTGTGTCTCCACGCGCAACCACCTGGAATGCACCATTTCTCATGTTTGGACCAACCTACAAAAAATCGCTATACAGCCACACACGAACACATTCCACCCCAGTGTATGTATGCAATTTACGAACAAGTCAAAGCGCATGACACTGGTTTGAGTCACGTGACTACAACACCTCACTCTTTGGAATTCGGTACGTGCGTGCGTTCGTTTCATGTACATGCGCGTATGTGTCCGCGCCTTGTGTAAAAACATCCTATATGCCTGACTTGTGCAGGGTAGGAGTTATCATTAGCAGTGGTTCGTTTTGTTACATTCCTCCACCGATGTTTGCAAAAGGACTCAAGTTGTGGTAAACACAGGCACATGTTCTCTGTGGCGCTTACCTACATGAAGATAGCGGAAATTCCACTAATTGATGTCACCGCTCTTTCATGTGTGTCCAGGCAAAAATGAATTTGTTATGGGTCTTTGCAGGACTTATGGATTTCACGTTCACATCGCTCTCGTTTTGAAGGCTGTCCTCTTCTCCAGACGTAATTATTCCGGTGGGTTCACACCATAACTAGGAAGCACTGGAATCGAGTTTCGCCCTTATTAGAGCTAATCAGCAATGCATACAAATCCTTGGTCGTGTTGGGGTTCGCCGCATGCATATCTGACATGCCAGGCGAGCATGCTACCAGCACACACCGGGATACATCTGAATTTGCACGTCTGACCAAGCTAACGTGTTCATGCCTGAGCGATATGACTGGTTTGCCTGACTGCTGGAACGACGACCCAGTAATCCTTTCGGTTATCGATCAGTCGAATTCACATTGCCGGGATCCACATCCGTGCATGTCAACCGTCTGTCACTTACAAAAAATAACTTGTTGCTTTCCTGATCGAATGACATCTGGGAGGAGGGAAAGTTGCACGATGGTTTCCTGATGGATGATACGTCATCGCGCGGTGTATCCTCCGACTCACATTGCCACAACACTAACAGAAACAGGTCCTGTGGACATTTTAAATGTTTACTTATAACGTTAACCGGAAAAGGTGGACAAAAAGGACGAATGAATTGTCGACTGAACACCCGAGCTACAGGCTGGTAGCAATCATGCGTATAATTGTGTTCGGCCATGTTGGCTTCAGCGTGAATGTCGATCATCTATAGTAGACAGACCGATTCCAAGGTCTGGCCCTCGCCGAACAGTAAAAGGCGAATCAACCGCTGGAGACCCTAATGAGACAGATATGAGGACTTTTGGAAAGAACTTTATTCTGATGGCTGTCCCTTCAGATAGAAATTCGCTTGCCCGAAGTACTCTTTACATAAAATTGTTCTCTCCCAAGTATGCAGTTTCCGATCACGTTCAGTGACTACCATTGTTTTTCTATGTTTTGAATCCCAATATTTATCTATATAAAAAAGGACGGATCTTTTGGAAACGGTCACTACCCACGTAAATTCACGAACTTCCTAATCAAATATTTCGAGGCTTAACATATATTCTGCTAGCTATGTACGTACTTGTTGGTATTCGATTCGGATTTGCATGTCAGTGGTGTCAAAAGCACTGAATGGCTGCTCACAGTTGGAGAGTCACAGACGATTTCCGCGGGACAGAAGGAAATGCCGCACACAAACTCTTGGAAACAATATAGACCCGAAGGAGTAGAATGGACGGCTGAACGTGAAGAGGCCTGTTGCAAGCCAACAGGTGGCTTAAACATGGTGGTATAACAATGACACTAGTTGCTTGTTTACCACTGAGGTGTCTAAGTCATCCTCTGATTAACCTGTTTCAGCACACTACCAAGTCCCCTTCCAGTATAGCTCCGTGCAAGTGTTTCCATAAGCCGACTGTTAACGAAACGTGATAGTGGTATTTGATAACCTCAAGGTATTCCATTAACCCTCTCGTTAATGATGCTGCCATTCTTAGGATTACACTACAGCATATTACTCAGTATAAAATGAAACGAAATTAACTGGGCTCGAGGTAGTTACTTCTGGCAGATGGACAGATGATTAGTTTTCAGGCCCGTAGGGCCTATCCTACACATGCCTAAATGCCTATATGCCTATGCAAATCCCCAGGTTCGAGGCTGCTCCAAGGAGGTTGAACCCATTTCAATTGGCTCGATCGTTTCGCAGAGGCTAGACTCATCGCTTCTCAGCTATTCTCCCATCCGCTTCTCTCAACTCTTTCTGTCGATGATCAGTTTCTCCGTACTCTGAAGTGGAATTAACAGTATTTCAAACTCAACCGAAGGTTGTCCCCATATTGAAATTCCAGGCATCCTCGATTTTGAACTCAGCTTATCAGCTAACCACAGAAATGGTTTGAAGTGTGAGTTTAGGCTGTTCTTCTCAAGTGGTCTCATCAGCGAAGCTGGTTCTGAATCAGACTGTGTTTGAGTCTAAGATATGTACCCGAACCTCGTTAGCATGGGGTCCAGGTTTGTTGTCACGTGGTAGTGAAAGCACCCTAACAATGCAAGTGACGATTGCTCCGGATGAGTTTCTCAAGGTCATCGACACTGCCCCAGCCTTTACAATTCATCAATTTGTTTTACTAAAGAGCATCCATTCTGTGCGCAATGTGCTAGCAAGATACCAGCATTCCGTGCATCAAGTCATTTCACAACCACTTAACTAAATGATATCTCCTGTGCGGACTGATAAAAGGCAAACGTTTTAGAAATATTCACAGTTAACCTAAAGCACGGCGCCGCTGAACCAAATCTAACCAAGTTAATACAATACCGCTTTAGAATAAGAAAATGCAGTGCAGCCGTCTGCAAATAGTATAGTACTGATCATGGATTTGCGTAGCAGTGTGTTGGTCTGGAAAAGCTCCCAAAAGATTAAGTAACTATTCCAAAGATATTGAGCTGGCACACCGCATTCGCAATGACGGAACACCTCCGCACTGATGATTGTCATGTAGAAACTGGAGATGGCCAGAATGAAAAACAACCTTACTTCCTTCCTCTGTCGACTTCGAATTCACCGGAAAGAGTTGCAATGATCCACACGCAGGCTTTCATTCCAGTTGGAAAGATTATGATTAAGTTATCCGGAGATCCAAGGTTTCGTATGTTGATTCATAGTCCTTATCTCTTCGAGGGATCTGGTAAATTCCACGAATTCGCCATAGGTAGATTGATTCCTTTCGATTCGCCTTTGACAAAAACCGGGTCAGCTGCACTTTTATAGCTTCCAAATGCACACTGCTCTTCAGAGTATCAGCAACCAGTCGGTTGAGTGGGGTCCGAGCCACAGTCTTTCCTGCTTTGGTTGGGGGATTGTTCCAGAGAGGATGCCTTTCTTTTACCGGATATCTGTGGCTTTATACAAACGAATGCTCGTTTTGTGGAACATCTTCCATCTTCACAGTTTTGCGTAATGAGTAAAGTTCACTCTGCAGTGTCGGTCCTTCCAGCTTCAACCAAGCAAGCCGAAAGCCCTTTAATTCTGAAGCTGATTTATGACTATCAGAATTTTTATGTGTAGTTTAAATGCCTAGCTTAAATCAAAATCTACTTACCGGTTACGTGGCGCTTCAGGTATTCCTGATCACGGATCACGGTCAGTCTATTATGGAGTTGTTTTTCTTTGTTCGTTTGTTTATTTATTTCGGAATTAGGTGCGGTCAACCAAACTAGAAGACGTCGACGGGATATTAGGATGACCATCACCATTAATCTACCGGACAGAGAATAGAAAACTTTTGGGACATAGTAAAATAAATATTAGCGCTTCAAAGCACTGTTTCTCGAGTGTCTGTGGATTTTTCGAGACGATGGAAATCAACATTTCCGTGGGGATAGACTGGCGTATTTCCTAAACTGGCGTTGAACCCAACCGCCTACTACTCACTAACAGAGACCTCCGTTAAAATAACGTCGTATTTAGTACCAAGTTAAACGAGTAGAACCATCTCTTAGTTAAAATTACAGTTAGAATAATGTGTTCGGTGGGGGTGGGGGGTCACTTTTTTTGTACCGGAAATCCTGTTTTGGAGAGCACGCTGCTCCTCATAATTTGATTTGACTTGGCTTGGTCTTCCTGTGGTTTGGGGCCTCCGCTGATATACCTTGTGCTACCGTCACCTTTAGGCAGAACAGAAAAAACGCCAACTGTTCTAATTGGGTGCTGTTGAGGTTTGCCCGGTTCGGTTGTTCGTAACTGTTCGTGCGTTCACTGCATTTATACCCATTCGCTTCATCCAAAGCCAGTTGCCACGACCTGAGCGAAACGACCATATACTTCTAAAGGCTAGTTAATACAATACATCTAATTCCTGATACTGAAACCCAGATTTCGCATACAACTATGACATCTAAAAACTATCAAATCTTATGCAGTTACAAAACCCAATTATAGGAAAGAATAAGTAGCACAAGTGAGTCGGTTACGTAACTGCTAACATCTGCTTTAAGAATTGAGCAGAGATGTCGTAGACCTCTTAACCTTCGTCAACGTCTGTACGTCACCTTACTAAAGGGCTTGTAGCATCTTAGATGTGATCGTTTGATTTCTAAACCAGATGCTCGCAAAGAAAACTACTATTTATCTAACAGATTAGTTCAGGTGACTAAAATGTTTCGATCCCCTCTTCTCATCTGGAAAACTCGGTTTCGAACTTAGTAGGCACCTTACCACTGGGCGCCGACTCACGATTACATTTGTAGCAGGTCGATGATAGACTATTAAATGGTCCAACTCGGACGTTACAGTTCGGCGAACGAAGCATGGATGAGCTATTCCAAATGCCAAGTACCATCTCACTGTCTTTCACCTGTGACCCAAATTAGAACTCTCCCGATAACTCTTCCTCTCTCTCTCTCTCTCTCTCTCTCTCGGGCATCTCTATACTCAGTGAACCTTTAGTAACCTTTATGAACCTTATGAACCTTTATGAACCTTTATTAATCACACTAGAAACGAACCGGGTCGTTACCAGCATTGTGACACCCGTTTCCAACGCTCTCATAAGTGAAAAGATGTAAGAGCTATATCATACGGTCTCCAACAAAACTTTTTATATAAATTTAGGGTGCGCTGGGAAACAGATTCTTTCCTAACCCTTATTTGGATTGAGTGAGCAAAAAACTTCCCCTTATTTGCTTCCTTTAATTTCGTCTTGTAAACGGATTAGTTGAGATTTACGCAAATTTTCCCCTCTAGGGATTTATCACCTATTTTCACTCTTCCCCTGTAACCCGAACAAAGACCTTTGGCAGTGATATCCACAAAAACACAAATGATTCACGTTCTCCTCGTCCCTCAAAGGAAATTCAGTGCTTTCGAACAGAAAACTAAGTAAATGTTATTTATTGGCATCGATCTGGGTGTGTAGTTTGCTTGTTAATAATTCATTCGTAGGCAAGAGCTTTGTTGTGTCTGTGTGTCGAGCAGCTGTAAAGGGGAAGAGAAACGACATGTCTCCCCTCTACTTGGTCATGACGTCTACCGGCAAGTGCACATGAATGATGTTTTTAGGGTGGTGATTCGTTTTCCGCGGTGGCTGATGGTGTAAGACAATGTTTTGGGTGGAACGGATGAATTTTTCACATAAGCCAATGTGAACTTAAATAAAGTCTATCTAATTATAGCCATCGCCTAATTTGCAGTGTGTTGCTTCTTATTCGATTTGTCCGTTTGTCTATTTGTTTGTTTGTTTGCGTGTGTGTGTGTGATTTGTTCATGCATACAAACTTTATCACCTACTAATTTCGAGGACGAGAAACTGCTGGTGAATTGATTTTTCACGGGACGCATTTGCAGTGCGTAACTTCAATATGACTGACACCATCAGGACGATTACCGACCAGTTAGAAGGAGGCTTCGGTATTTCAATGTAACGATTACTATATTTAACTACTGAAGTGCGTGGAACAGGTGCTAAGTGAAAAAAAAACATTTTTCGTACGTGTACAGTAAGAAACTTCGATATAAAAAGGACAGCTTCGAATACATGCTCCTAAGCTTGTTAGTGAAATTCTATTGATACCTTGGAACACTGATCAGATGCAAACAGGAGATACAGTTTGCCCTACCGGGGGTGCTAACACATTTCCGAATAGGGACAGACTTTTGGTGATTAATACGTGTATGAATATATGATTGCCTAATGCCCATGCAAATCCGAACGAATAAGAACAAGGTGGGTAATGGACAGGTAATGGACTGCTGTCGAGCAGTCTCAAGCAACCTCACGGGTAGTGTTCCTTCAAGATCATATACCGTGATTTGTCGAATATAGTACCATCTTTTTGTAACACATTTAGTTGGGAAATATCATAAACTTGGTTCCCATCCTGTTACGACCAGCTTTCAAACAGTACCGCGGTTGTCTAGTTGTACTTAGAAGTAAAAAGTGAGACGAGTGTACTAATTACAACCAGCCTGATTTATTTGCAACCGACTGGTCACTCAGCATAGCAGTGTTCGTCGAAGAAACGGCTTCAAGTTTCGTTGCGTATTTGGGTGGATCATGTGGCTGATATCTTTTTGCAAGAAGGTTGGCGGACAAAATCGGTTCCTCCAAAACCTAGGCTTTGTTTAGGCAAAGTATTTAGATATGCTGGCTTGATACACTCGTTCTCCCAGTTAGACACCTATGTAAGGAAAAGGTGACAAGTGTTGGAGATTAGTATATGAGTCCCATGCTGACATACATTTTGCATCAACCAAGACATGGAACTCAGTGAAAACACCATTCCGATGCTGGTACCCTTTCATAATAAGGGTAATGATGGATTAAGTACAGCAGATAGACATAAAGGTGCGCATACAATTGCCACACATAAACACGGTCCGTTGTCATTCTTAATTGAAAACAATGTCGCTCTGGTTCCAGAAATCGGGTTACCAAACACGAATGGTGAGTTTTCATCACGCACGAGGAAATATCTGGTGATTGATAGTCGTTTTGGGCTCACTCCACCTAATGCGATGTTTCAGGTGAGTCTCGTGGAATGTTGCTTGCAGGCCAAGCGAACGTTTGGCACAAGTGTCACAAATTTAATCCTGATAACGAGAAAATATTTGAACTAATTAAAAGACGGGGGAGATAAGTCAGACTGATTCTTTCTGTTTTCCATTTATCAGGGGGGAATGGACTAATGGAACAAACCAAGATTTTCAAGTACTTTGTTCATTGATGAAGGCAATCTTGGTAGATCGGATTGTGAATACGACGACCGTGTTGTCCGCTTTCGTCGCGTCAGGATGGTTAAATTCAACAGACAATTTAAAAGTGTTTCTTTGTGTCCAGCCATCAGGAGATATAGCTGTGTGCATAGACCTATTATTCAGTGGGCATTTTTCACAATTGTACGTGGGAAACTATTAGTTGTGGTAAGGGAGAAAGCGTACCGCCATTGAAGCTCTCCCTATACCCACCCAGCCCTTTAAAGCAAGCGTCACTTAACCCATAGGTAGGAGCTGGTGTTGCTGACTGGTCAGCTGCAGTGCTGTTGTGACTGATGGTGTAGTTGAACTGTTACCTTAAGTCTAACCTGTTTTCCTGTAGATGTAACCATTGGCAATTCGAAGGATGGCTGAATTCCAGCCACATGACCACCAAAAGCAACATTATTGAATTACTGATCGTCGTACAATAAAAGCTGGGGTGGATACTGACACAACCGGTAACCGTAACAATAATCGTTTGCAAATGAATGATGTGGAGCGCCACTGGTGCACATAGTTTTGCCGTGGATGCGTTTGCAAAGGCTAGCTTTCCTCGACAAACTTTTATCACAGTTAGCTACTTTCCTTCCCGGTCAATTTTTCCGTGTTATTCTAAGGGGCTTTTGACCACAAACTCCCGCCGTCGGAGTAATGTTCACTAATGACATTTCACGTGGCCTGTCCGGTCGTGTCCTTTTTTCGGAGTCTCAGAGATGTTCTTGAGTCGTATCGGGAGCGTCAATGACAGTTTCACGAGAAGACTGAACTTGACCCTTGGTCCGTTTGTGGTTACTTGGAAATTGACTAAGCAGGGTGCTTTCCCTTGAAATGAATGGCATTCAACTAAATAATTTTTTGTGAAATACTGATTTATCGTCAGCTCCGGCAATTTCATCGTGTACGTAGGCTCAGACGTCATTCCCCCAGGGCCACATAAATTGGTCAATGCGGAAGGTCGAAGTTCTCAGCTGACGTGATCACCCAAACAAGCCATAACGCCATGCGATGAATAACCACGTACTTACACTGGGCTTATAATGCCCGTATTCATGATAGGTAAGTGAGGCTCTAGCCAGTGAACGAATGACTTTTGGTGACTTGAATCAAGTGGACGGGGAAAGACTTGCAGGAAACAGAAGCCTCTGGGAGATGGTTTCCTGAATGACTGGCTCTATTGAATTCTGTCCCACGATTAAAAAACAGGGGGTTGCGGATTCCTCAAGGTGCACTGAATTATCAGTGGTGACTATTCCGACCAGCGAACTTTTCATGTTCGATTCCAGATACACAGGCTTTCTCAAATGATGGACTTGCGATTTCACGCTTAACTTCGGGATGCTGGCAAATTTACGCAGCTGACTTGCTTATGGAATGGCGAAAAATCTCCGCTGAGGGTATTTTAGCATAATATCTGGTTTTTGTTGCTAACACTGTAATAACGGGCTCCCTGTGGTAGACTGGGCTGGACGATTCTTACCCGGTCCGGAAAGCCCAAACGAAACAGC